AAGCAAACTACAAGTGATAGTCGGAGCAGGAATTCACACTCTCTTCTGTGCCTCCAGCTGGGTACAAAGCATCTATTTCTTTCCTCAGATGGAAATCATGGAAAGAAGCAATATATACATTTTAAAGCAGAAAAAGCCCAAACTGCTGCTAATTTTGAACCTCACTCGGGTCCAGAGGGTTATGGTTGAGAACAAAGAACATCAAACCTAAGCATATTCACACACAAGAGAAACACCACACTTAAGATGATGGATTAAACTAGTATACATCAGAAAGCCGATACCTAACAGACACATTACACACAAACTTTTGAATAAAGCAAAACCATATAGATTTAAAAGTGTATATCAACCACTAAATAAAACAAAAACAGTGCATTACAGACCAGGTAAAAACAGTATTTAGCCCAGTTCATCGAAGTGCAGATATATGTCTACAACAGTGATAATAAACCAGATCAGCATGTGACTATTTAGCATAGGATCTATGTGGGGGTTTACATGATGAATAACAAAACAGGATCCATCCCTGCAGATGCTTCCCCATTTAAGACTTCAATAAGACTACATGGGCAAGTGAGCTGGCTGCATCGTGACTGTGCTGTGGGCCAGAGAGTGGCTATTTGGCCTGCGAAAAAGTATGTCCATGAACATAATCGAAGGGTAATACAATACTACAAATTCAAAAAAAGCGATGTGATATTGGGATAATGTATTGGGAATGTCACACACATGCAGATGGAGCACAACACAGACACCCAGGATAAAAGACACACTGCATATGTGTGTATTTACATACCGCGATACAGAAATACACCCAGGATACAACACAGACACACACACACACAGAAACAAACCCAGGATAACACACACACACACACACAAAATGTACGTATATACAAACACACAAAACCACCCAGGATAACACATACACACAGAGACACACAGTCGGGATACAAAAATACACACGCACACTAGGGAATGCACCTCCCGGGACAGACAGACAGACCACACAAGGACGAGGCGGGAGCTCCCTAGCCCCGCACGGGATACAGGGCAGCCCCTCTCTGTCTGTCTGTCTGTCGGGGGAGGGGGGGGGTCCCACGCTCGCTGCGGACAGCCCCAGCCCCCCTCACCTGCCGGCGCCGCTTTCTGCTGCTCCTCCTCGGCCCCCGCCTCGGCCATGGCGAACGCCCCCTGCCCCGCGCCGCAGCGCCCCCGGCCCCAGCGGCATGGAGCGGGCGAGGCGAGCCCGCCCGGCAGACAGTTGGCACAAATCCCACCGTGGACCTGTCCGAGCCCCGGCTCTAAGCGCCGCCCCGTCAGCCGCGCGCTTCTCGCGAGATCTCCGTCAGAGCGGGCGGGGGTGCTGTCGGTGCCGGCTCGTGGGTGGGCTCGGCGCCTCGCAGCGGGGCGGGAAGTTCCAGGCGGGAGCGCGCTGCCCCCCACCCGGCTGCAGACAGTCAATTAGCCTCGTGCCCCTTCTCCCTGCAGCCCCCTTCCCCGGCCCTCGCCCTCTGCCACCGGCTGGCCCGGGGGTCGCAGCCTGTCGCTCCCAAGTCCAGCGCGTGTAGCTAAGTAAACGTCCAGGACCACAAAGCCTGAGCCCGCTGGGACATGGCATCAGGGCGCTTGGTTGCCCCGCACTGCCCTTGCGGGCCATGATGACAAGACCACACTGTGCTGCCAACCCCATGCGTTCAAAAATCTTAAGTGAGGCCCCCTGTGCTCCCCGCCAAATAATGACCTGTTAATTCACGGGGGTCTTTTTATTTACCTTCTGGTTTTTTAAGCATATGAGTGGTTTGCTCGAGTCACATGCTCAAGCCTTCCTCCACGAATATGAGGCCCAGAAACTTACTTACAAAAAGAGAAAGGTGAGATTCTCACATATTCACATGACTCCAGGAGCTGGGGCTTTGACCCACACCAAATATTGTGAGACTTGCAATAAAGTCATAAGCACTGGGGAAACTGATACAATCCATCAAGTTTAGGAGAGGAATTTGGCCCCAAAAGACAGATTTCAGAAGTGGCAGAAGCAGAAAATATCTGGGCCTGATTCAGATGCATGCTATTGGGCAGGGCATGGGGACTAGGAGTCAAGTCTGTTGCTGGCTTTGTGACCCTGGGCAAGTCACTATTGTTACTCTGCCTCAGTTTTCCTTATTGTAAAATGGTGATAATGATACTGTGTAAAGTGCTTCAAGGTCTAAGGATGAAGTGCACCTGGATCCTGTGAAGTACTGAGCATCCTTAATGCCCACTAAAATCACTGGGAATTGGGGAAAATCCACAACTTATCTGAATGGACTCTCACTCAAGCTTTCTTGGCTGTGCAACTTCCTGCACTGAGGTTGCTTGCAATTCTACCTATTATTCACATAACAGGCAACTTACAGGTGTCAGCTCAACTGGTGTCACATGACACGCCTTTCTCAGAAATATGGCTGGAGTCTGAAGATTCATGTTCAAATCACAATACCCCACTCTCTCCTTGTATGGAGTTTTGCACTAAGTACTCATCCCTGTTCATTTTTGTGGTTTCACATCCACAGTCTAGAAAAAGACATGACAACTTTCTTAGTGAAAATCACATTAGAGAAGTCTAATTATTTCCTCCGTCTCTTCATTTCTGTTGGAATTCATGCTGGTCAGCCTTCCAATCACTTTACCTGTGGGGAGTCTGAGACCTTTTCTTCCACTCACAGCAGGGAGGCAGGGAGAGTGAGAGTCTTTTTGCTGCATTAAATGGAAGAGTAGCTGTAAAAGCTCCCTAGGTCACGTGTACCTGGATCTTTCATTGCATAAAACCCTCATAGACTTTGTACTCTGTCAGGAAGTGAGAGCAGGGTTCCCTGGAAAACAGTTGGGTGAAAACTTCTAGTGCTAGACCCTCCTTACAACTTAATCCTTACTTTAAGGCCCGATTCTCCAAACGTTCATATGCATAACTGTATACAGAATTAGACCCTAAGCAGTCAAACCAAGATGTAAGTGATGAAGATGGCCTTGTATGGGCCCCAATCCTAGGATGAATTGTGCACATTATGTCAATAACTGCTGTGTGGATTCATAATGTATTGTACCATATCCAGTAACAAACACATTTCATGTGTAAAAAGAACAGGAGTACTTGTGGCACCTTAGAGACTAACAAATTTATTAGCGCATAAGCTAATATGTTAGTCTCTAAGGTGCCACAAGTACTCCTGTTCTTTTTCGGATACAGACTAACACGGCTGCTACTCTGAAACATTTCAGGTGTAAAAACTCTGGCTAGTACCATTCAAAATTTTTAAAAGTAACCTTATTTCTCTTATTCATTGTAAAGACTTATCAGTCTTTTACAAATGGTTTTGCTTTATGCAGAATGCCAGCATCAGGTGTTGCTCCAACAGTTAGATTCACATTAACATTACGAAGTTTTCCATAGGAATAATGTCTTTCCACAACTTCAGCCTTATGTGAAAGAATTAATGAGTACAAGACAACTAATATAATAATTATACTTTCATGCAGCTATCATATATCACCAATTCATTCTGTGTTAAATCTGAAACAAAAATATAAGTAATTGCCAATCAATTTATATTGTTATTAGCTAGGTCTTTGCCCTTTAAAAATAAAAATGACAATAATTAATTCCCTTAGACAATTTAAAATCTGCTCTTTTGGACAGATCCTCTCAATTATTCATTATTATTTTTCATTTGTATTGCAGAAGCACACAGATGCACCAACTGAAATTGGGACCCATTGTGCTAGGTGCTGTATATACACATAGTAATTGGAGAAACCATAGAAACGTAGGACTGGAAGGGACCTCAAGAGTCCATGTAATACATCCCCCTGTGCTAAGGCAGTCCTTACTCTGAAAAGTTTACAAGCTAAGTGAACAAGACTAACAAAACATGGAAGAAAGAAAGCAGGGGAAGCTGAGGCCCAGAGAGATTACGTGATTTGTCAAAGGTCATACAAGAAGTCTGGCAAAACCAGGAATTAAACCGAGATAACGCCAGTCTCAGTCCAGTGTCTTAATTACATCACTGTACATCAGCTGCTTGCAAGTATGTGTATGGAGCTTTTGGAACTGAAATGACTGTGTAATTAGTGCACCTTCAAGGTCTGGAACAATCCAAGCCGGCAGAGTTTCAAAGAGTGGGTAATCAGTTGTAGCTGGAGTTGGCTGGAAACAAAATCCAAAATGAAGTGGGGCTGGATGTTGTTTATAAATAAAGACCCATTGTTATGATTATTTTATTTTTCTTGCTATTGTTGTCCAAATATAAAGCCATGGTATTTAAACAGAGCATGATTGGCTTATTAGGATCTGGAGACATAACAAAGGAAAAACAAGATTACATTTAAAATGCAGCGGAAAATATTCCACTGCCTAGAATCAGGGCTGGCTCTAGGCACCAGCAAAACAAGCTGGTGCTTGGGGCGGCACATTTTTAGGGGCGGCATGGCCGGCACCAGAATGCCGCCCCTAAAAATTTGCCCCGGCCGCCCTAGCTCACCTCCGCTGCTGCCGCTCACGCGCCGCTGCTTGCCCTTCCTCCCAGGCTCTCAAACCTGGAAGGGAGGGGGAGACGCCGAGTGGCCGTGGCGCGCGCGCCGCTTCTCCCCCTGCCTCCCTCCTTCCGAGGCTTGAGAGCCTGGGGGGAAGAGGCAGGGCTGGGGATTTGGGGAAGGGGCGGAGCTGAGGCGGGGCCGGGGTTGGGGTAAGAAAAAAACGAGGGGCAAGGCAGCCAAAATTGTTTCTGCTTGGGGCGGCAAAAATCCTAGAGCCGTCCCTGTCTAGAATCACAAAGTGGAAAGGGAAATGTGAAAAACAGAAAAGGTGTATTTACTTCCAACTAGAGCAGGATACATTACTTATATAAGTACTCTGTCAATTGACTATTAACCCTCAAGCAGCTGAGGACACACACTCGTATGCATGCATGCTCGTAGTTTGGTATACTGGAAAATGAAAGCATGACAAGGGTTTGAACAAAAGCAGTACTTAAACTTGCTACCGCAGGAATAGATGAGCAAAGAGATTTCTCTGAAAAGGCCATTTGCTTCAAAGGATAGTCTTAAGCAATAGAGGACTGATGGGGTTACAGCTGTCTCTGTCATTTTATAAGCACCTCACAGCTGGTGGCAGTTCTGGTGGTTAAGTCTTTCCTTTCTATTTGTGTAGTCACAATCAAGAGACAACACCTGGCTCTCTTAAAAGGCAACTTTCTAAATTAAAGAAAATTACACAACCCTACAAAGGGCTCTCATTGTAGCTTTGCAGCTAATCCTGGAAGGTAGTGGCACATGTGGAAGATAGAAAACAGCTATGTCTGTATTTGCTATGTAACTAAGGGTAGCTTTTTGGTACCCTGGGAAGCCCATGCTCTGAAACAGAATTCTTGCACCCTCTCCCTGCTTCCATATCATCCTTTTTAACAACCCCTTTTAAGAAAACAATTTTGAAAGTTTGGTGTGAAACGCCACTTCCTAAGTTTTACTTTGGAATCTTGGGCTGCCTCATGTTCCACCATGACTATTGCTTGTTTGTTCATCTTCACTGCTACAATAATTTGCTCTTTCATCCTATCTTTCATCTCTAGCAATCAAAATACTTTGCCAGCATTAATGAAATAATCCTGTAAGTAAGTAAGTATTAATTTAGCTAGGGTTACCATATTTCCACAAGCAAAAAAGAGGACACAGGGGGGAGGGGCCCCACTCTAGCCCCGCCCCATCCACTCCCTCCCACTTCCCACCCCCTGATTGCCCCCCTCAGAACCTCCAACCCCCCCCTCTCCTTGTCCCCTGACTGCCCCCTCCTGGGACCCCTGCCACTAACTGCCCCCTAGAACACCACCCCCTATTTATGTACAGGCGTGAC